ATTAGTTATGTATGTAATCCTAATGCTTGTTTATACTTTATGAGACTGCAGGATAACTTGTTTTGATATCTTCGGAGGTATTTGTTAGTTTTCTCTTCTTCATTTCACTTGTTTCGTAGTAAATTCATTATATACCACCTTGAGGGAAAATAACGTTTAGCTTGTGGTATCAAAAAACTTGTTGTAAGTTTTACATTTATACAACAAGCACACGTTAATGTAGTATACGGTCAATCACGAGAAGACGATGGAGTAAACACGGACTCGCTCTACACTATGGCCTAGCTACAGGAAATCAATTGTTTGTTTTTTATTAGTAAAACGATTGACAAAAAAACAATGAAATAGAAAAAGCAACTAAAGCACGAAATATAACAAGACAAACTATAGACTAACATGCACTGTGTAATGTCAACTTCGAATTCTTCATATTTTGTGCGGATTTGTTATGCAAAATTACTTCGACCTTCTATCGAGGTGGGAAAACTTTTATAAACCGAAACCCACATTTACAACATTAAGGTTAAAACAAAAAAAATTCTCCAATCTACATCTCTAATTATTTTCACGTTAGAGTCATAGTCACTGATCAATTTAGTGTCAAAACAATGATCAAACTTTGGTTTGCATCAAAACTCACCAAATTAACTAAACAAAATTTCATAAAAAAAAACTGGTTAATCAAACATTAACTTTCGTTATATGAAAACTTAACTAAGTAAAAAATATTCAATGTAGGGTTGTGCACAGGTCGGGTCGGGTCGGATCGGCCCACAAAAGTGCTAATCCGATCGGGTATCGGGTTATAATACCACAACCCGTAGTATGCACTTCGAGTATCGGGGCATATCAGGTTCGGGTCACTTCGGGTTTGAACAAACATGAATTCTTCGAAAATAACTAGTGTTCTTGTCATTGAACAAACATGAAGTCTTCCAAGATAACCTTAAGGCCTTAATCCTTTTGTGTTCTTCGGGTTTCGGGCGGGTAGAAATAATGTTTAGAAATATTCAACGAACCAATATTGTCAAAATTATATATAAACTAGTAAATATATCTAAAGCATCACTCTAACGAAGATTAACTAAATACAAAATGCAACTATAAACTAGATGAATGCATGTTTAAAGTTGAAATAACAAGCATATACAATTCATTAACATTATAATCATCACACATTTGATGTCATTCTTGAAATAAAAGCAAGAAGATTTCCTTCCCTTTAGTAGTTACAGGAGTACCGAAAGATTCTTACTCTGTGGCTTTTCAAGGACGTAAAAGTTATTGGTGTCGGAAATGGAAAGTCTCTTTTACTTCCATATTGTATTTGGATGGGAAAATGACAAAGAGTCAACCCTTTCTAATCACAAGGAGAAGTATGCTTGACTTGAATGTGAACAACCTAAGCTACCTCCAAAGGAACTACTAAAACAAGTTAAGAAGCAAGTACATAAAGGTGAAAAGATGTGTTAGAATCAATATGTTTGGTCCTATTCCTATATTGTATTTGTCTCAATAATTTCGTTTTTTTTTTTTTTTTTTTTTGTCATTTACGTGAACTTAAACTATGATTACGTGAATTATCTCTTGCCAATTCATTCAACTTTTGGATCATATGAATCACAACAAATCAAGTAAGGCTTTATTGTACTTAAATATATCTTCCATGCGAGCAGTGGCAGATCCATGATTTTTGTTCACCAAGGTCACCTTTAAGGTAGATCAAAGACCTGCACAATTTTCTGATGTGTTTTTAACCTATAATCGAGGGAAGTGAAAGCTAAATCATTTAAAACCTATAAAAAAAATTTGAATTTTTTACTGGGATCCATTCCCCCTTTTTTTTTTAACATTGCATCCGCCCCTACATGCAAGAGTTTAAATACGTATCAAGAAAGTATTTTATTTTATAAACAGTAAAAGCATGAACAATTTAGGTTGATCCGACTGGTAGGTTGGTACGCCTACCTACGATGGTGGTCCATATCTCTCATTAAGGTGTACTATGCTCACTTCCCTTCACATGTTATAACATAAAACTTATAACTTTTTTTAAGTATATAATAATTATATACAGTAAATGTAACAAATAAATTTACACACCTTTCTTAATTATGGTAAGATTTAAACTCCCGACCTTCTAGAAGGCCAAGAGCTACGATACAGCTAGGCCAAAGGCCCTTTGGTATAAAACTTATAACTTAATGTTGAGTATCTTTATGCAATCAACATGTGTAATTTATTTTACTGCTTTTATTTCTGGAATTTGTCTTATATTAACAATAATTAACAACATCCATTACATTATAATAATAATATAATAGAAGGGTATTCGTACAATACAGCGAGATACATCTAAATTTTAATGTTTTGTTTTGTTTTATTTTATTTTGTTTCGGTCGATGTTATAATGTGGTTTTGAGAAAGTGTAATATTTTTATTTTTGAATAGAACATAAATATGAAAATATCATAAAGAAATTAAAAAAATATATTAATATTAGTACCAAACTAACTATTTAAAATTTCTATATTTTTTTGTGTATTTCTTTAATTCATTTTTTTATTTTTGGTTTGGTAATATATTTTTTTATAAAGATAATAATTAAGTATTTTGTTAGAAGTTAACTATCCTAATTATATTTTAGATTTTTTATATTTAAAATGAGATGTTTATCCTCTATTTAATTATTTATCTACAGTTAGTTACATGAATTCAACATGAAACTTTAATAATTCATACTTGCTCACAATTTACTTATAATCTTGAATTTTAAGTAATATGTATCAATAAACAGTATTTCATGCATAAAAATTGATTTTTAAAGGTTTTTGTCAAATGTTTTATAATATAGTATAGATGTATGTGTAATTAATGCGTTCAAATAAATAATCATGGTTTTAAAAATCAGATCTTCTATAACCACCTCTGACATATTTAATTAAACTAGAAGGTTACTCGCACAATGCAGCGAGATACATCTTGATTTTAATATTTCATTTTATTCTTTATCTCAATCGATTTATAATATGGTCTTATGTAATTTTGAAAAGCGATAATGTTTTTATTTTTTAAATAAAATATAAATTTGACAAAAATATATCGATATTAGTATCAAATTAACTATTTAAAATTCCTCATTTTTTGTATAACTTTTTAATCCAATAATTTTTATTATAATTTAATTTAGGTTCAATAACAAAGTAATTTATATTTAGTTTAATAATATGATTTTCTCATAAAGATAATAATTAATTATTTTTTTAAAACTCGATAATTATYCTAATTATATTTTAGATTTTTATATTTTAAAATGAAATATTTATATACATAATTTACTAATACTTTTGAATTTTAAGTAATATACATCAATATACAATACTTCATATATAAAAAATGATATTTAAAAGTTTTTGTCAAATATTTTATAATATAACATAGATAAAAACATCTCAAATGGCAAAACATTTCTGTAAAAACATAAAAGAAGTGATTGGAAGGACTTTTTGTAAAAGCTTTTAAAAAAGGGTCGATATTCTTAAAATTGTGTTTAAAAACGTTCTGTATCCCTCTCTTTTACTATTTATATAAAAGCAAAACACGATACCTACTACATACAAAACCGCTATTGTGGGTCCATTTTTTTCTTCTACCATCATCATTTATTTTTTAAGCATTATTTTTTATTTATATAGTATTTTAATTATTTTCAAATCAAAATTAATCACTTCTACTACTAGTTCCAATCAATATTTGAATCTAGTCACTGATTTAAATACATACACTTGTATAAATATATAATTTAAAAATGGCCATTCGTAATCGACAGGACTGTAATTTAAAGAGGTGTCAAAGTATGAAGAAAAGTTTTTGAACCAAATATATAAATTAATTATATCATAGGGACAAAATATATTAAATTAATCATAGGTTTGTTTTCTCAAATTTACATATTTGATTCCCATAATTACAGACTTGGTTCAAAAACTATCTTTTTTTCTTACACTTTGACATTTTCGTAAATTAAGAACCTGTCATGTTGGTCCCGAATGAGATGACAATAAATAGAAAGTAATTGTAGAAAGAGGGGTTGAATATAGTTACATAGACTTTTTTTAACTTTTTAATTTTTATTGATGTATATCAATAATTAATACACAGAGATACAATAAAAAATTGTTGCGAAAGAAAGGAAAGGATAACATAATTTAAACAATCTTATAAAAAGAATAACTTATAAGAACAACACAAATAGTATTTGTAAGGAAATGAAAAACACACTAAGTTTTTCTTCACACACAGGAGTGTATGGGAGTAGAAGAGGAGAGTCGATTGTCTTGAGAATGCACTTAGAAATCCTTCAAAGGAAGTCAGTAGTTTGCATGGGAGATGCACACTGTCTTTTATACTACCTTCAGCATTAAATGCATTGAGACACTTGTTACTTGAGGATAAGAAGGAAGGGGTTGACTTGACCATTGTTGATATCTCATTTTCATCGTGCACAACGTGCATACAACACTGTTAATACAGAGACAAACTTTTGCAGAAATATGGTTAGTCTGTAGGAAGATCTTCTTTGGATGGATTACTAGCTTCAAACAGCTACTCACAAATCAACGGTGTCTAAAGATCTTTCTTCAAATCTTTGATGCATGAAGATTTTCTTCAAATCTTTGGTCCATGAGAATCTTCCTCACAATCGGCTTGTAACATCAAAATATTTTTCATATCAGCTACTCTGGAGTACCGGTCTGTAAATTAGACAGTTAATCTACAGAACCGTATCGATGACCTCCTATTTTCACATTGGCTAGTCTTCGATTTTACCAATTGCTTTAAGTATGTACCAAGACACCAATATAAAAAAAACCAATAACTATTAAGTGTTGATAGGATAAAAAAACAGATCAGTAGATCATCATCAAATTAACAAGTGACTTAACATGTCAGTTAAGACTTACGATTATTTTAATTAATTTCTGTGAATTTTAATTGGAAAAAATTAACCACTTTAGATTTGATTGGTATTTATTGTAATTTTCTATTTTCCGTGTTTTGGACACTAGAAAATACCCCGGAAGAACGGCCTCAATCTCTCCCCGGCGGCTCCGGATTTTGTTCGCTTCTGTCCCAAAACCACAAGTAAAACCCTTTCCCTTCTGCTTCTGCTTCTGCTTCCAACCACATTATCTACAAACACACCACCAAATCTAACTCCAACCGGAGCTCCGGCATCGACTGATCCAACGTCAACGGATTTCAGCTCAGAATTGGCCGTTTCAAGAGGAGGTACATTCGGATTGGTTGAAGATGCAGCCGGAATGGTATAATGAAGGTATTAGCAATTCAGTTTGGGGATCGAGATCTAAACGGTTTTTCAGATATTTCTCCGATACGATCTGTCTTCCGTTATTATCCGCCATCATGACAGCAACTTCTAGATCCTCTGTTCGTCTCCTCTTCTTCCTCCTATTCATGTTCGTCGCCGCCTTCCTTTCCACTCGCTTGATAGACGCCACCAATTCCGTAACTGTAAGTCTCCGATTCCGACCGATTTATGGATTTCAAACTCTTTTTTATTTCTTCTTTTTTTAATTAATTTTCTTAGACGTAGTGGGAACGCCAAAAGTAGTGATGTCGAAACGACGTAGTGTCGTGGTTCCGGATTCCCTTTGGGAAATTAACTAAGCACGTTGCATCCGCCGTGACTTTTGTTCAACGTACTTTAATACCTAACACTCGTCGTTTTCCTGATACGTGTCCTTTGCCGGCCCCCACAATTGGAGGTGTCGACTCCGATTTATGTAAATAAGTGATTTGATTTGTATGCAACTCATAATTCTGCTTTCTGCCCCTTTGTCTCATGTAGAAATATACGATTTTACAGCCATCCTCTTAAAAATTGTAGGGTCTGTAATTAAAAAAAATTCAAAAATTTGGTGAATATTTGTTAATGTTCTTAATTCATCATAAATGCATTTGCCGGAAATCTAGGCCTCATCTGTGAATCTTGAAATTTCAAGACAAAGGGTTCTTTCTGTAGGGTTCTAGAGAAAACAATTACTTTAGGATGGAAAGAGATGGTTGATGGTTGCTTTTTCGGATTAGAATTTATATGAAAACGACTAACCAAGCGGTTGTACTGATTTCAAATGGTTGAATTCCATCGGTGTTACTGAAATTTTACCTATATATGACGGAGTTTTGATCACAAAGATTTTGATGGATGATCCCCTGATCGCCTTTCCCATAGTGGAGATCTGCCGCTATGGGAGATGACTTCATGTTTTTCAGAAAACAATGACCTTTTGACCTGATAAGTTTTTTTTTTTAAACCATTACCATTAGATAGGTTTGAAAATGTCACTCTTTAACATAATAATGTCAGGATTATAACACAAGAATGCTTGAAAACTTGTCTGAAAATCATGTTGAGAAGCACTTGTCCGAAGGTCAATTAGCTAAATCATCCGAATTAGAGGATGGGATTCATAAATACTACCCCTAAACGCGTACAAGACAACGTATTACTGTCAATATTGGTGCATATTTCATATAACATATGCAAACACGGAGATGACCGTATTCCGTACTTCTTCAATATAACGTTTATGTTTGTTAGACTACTTAAATGGATTGAAACACAGAATCTGAATGATCTGTTGTTGTGAGCCTAATCTTGTCCTGTGTTTGATTTTCCTTGTTGCAGTCAGTAGCTGAAAATCCCTCTGGGAGTTCGGTGCAAACTACCACAACAGTGCACACTGAACCTACCATAACTCAAGTTATTTCCAAAAAACCACCCAAGAAAATTGAAATTCCATTGAACTGCTCTTTGGGCAATCTCGCTCGAACATGCCCAGCTGATTACTACCCAAAAATATTCAAAATACAAGATCTGGAATACACTTCTGAGCCACCACATGAGTGCCCAGAATACTTCCGTTGGATTCATGAAGATCTAAAGCCATGGAAGGAGACGGGGATCACGGAAGAGATGGTGGAAAGGGCTAAAAGAACAGCAAATTTTCGTCTAGTGATATTGAACGGAAGGGCTTATGTTGAGACGTATCAGAAGTCGTTTCAGTCTAGAGATGTTTTCACTCTTTGGGGGATCCTGCAGTTGTTACGAAGGTACCCTGGGAAGGTGCCAGATTTGGACCTTATGTTTGACTGTGTTGACTGGCCGGTCATCTTGAAGAAATTCTACCGTCGGCCTAATGCGGTTGCCCCACCACCATTGTTTCGTTACTGCAGTGATGATTCCACTCTAGACATTGTTTTCCCAGATTGGTCTTTCTGGGGGTGGTAAGTGACCACATGTTCCTTCCTTCAATCCCATAAGATCAGATGCAAGTTTAAACATCCCCATAATGCAGTTTAAATCAAACTTTTTTGCAGGCCCGAGATTAATATAAGGCCATGGGGATCTTTGTTGAAGGACCTAGAGGAAGGAAACATGAGGACTAAATGGATAGACAGGGAACCATATGCTTACTGGAAGGGTAATCCAGTTGTTGCCGAAACCAGAATGGACCTCCTTAAATGCAATGTCTCTGAAAAGGAGGATTGGAACGCTCGTGTCTTCGCCCAGGTACTGTTTCTTACTAGCGCTTGATTAGTTTTGCTGTTGGAATTAACAATCACACACAATAATAATGATTGCAGTAAAAATGGTGGCCCTAGGATATTTCCTTTTTGGTAGCCATGGGTGTCTAGGGCAGCTTGCCCGCACCTCGACTAATCCCCAATGACCCTGAGAAGACTCGAACTGACGACCCATGAGAAACCCAATGCATAGTATTTATTTGCCAGTTGAGCCGACCCTCAAGGATTGTCATTATGCATTATATAATGTAATACAAAGATGAAAGCTGACACCATCTATAAAAATAAGATATTTCAGCAAAGAAAAGCAGATGACGTTATGCATTTGTTGATTCTTTTCAGGACTGGTTTAAAGAATCACAGCAAGGTTATAAGCAATCAGATTTGGCTAGCCAGTGTGTCCACAGGCAAGGGAATCAATCCAATTTGTTCTTGTCCTCATCATTTTCAGTTTCATCGTGTATTCATGAATCTAGTTTCTTGTTTTGAAAGCAGATATAAGATTTATATCGAGGGATCTGCATGGTCAGTGAGTGATAAATATATTCTCGCTTGTGATTCCGTCACTTTTGTGGTGAAGCCACGCTACTACGATTTCTTTACTAGAGGGTTGATGCCCGTTCACCATTACTGGCCTATTAAGGAAGACGACAAGTGCAGATCCATTAAGTTTGCAGTCGATTGGGGCAACAACCACAAGAAAAAGGTAATCAAGATGGTCTTTGCTCTTGCTTTAAAACTTCTTAGCTTCTCAAGTTTGGAACTTGCTTAAAGCATAGCCTGGGACATCCTTCTAAAGAAAATGAATGAGAATTCTGGGGTTCGAGTTCGGATGGCACCCATCTGTGCCAGCTCTTGGTACATATGATTTACCTTCAGATGATCGTTGTGAGGGTGCTCCAGAGGGTGGCGTCATATCTTAGAGATGCAAGTCGCTTAACTTTTTGTTTTTGTGGCAGGCGCAAGAGATAGGAAAAGCAGCAAGTAGTTTCATTCAAGAAGATCTGAAAATGGACAAAGTATACGACTACATGTTCCATCTTCTAACGGAATACTCGAAGCTCCTGAAATACAAGCCCCAAGTACCTGAAAAAGCAGCCGAGCTTTGTTCAGAAGCAATGGCTTGTTCTTCACAGGGGTTCGAAAAGCAATTCATGATGGAGTCCATGATCAAAGGCCCGGCAGCGGTGCACCCCTGCACCATGCCACCACCGTACGAACCTCAAGCTTTAAAATCTCTTCTTAGGAGAAAAACAAACTCTATACTACAAGTTGAAAAATGGGAGAAAGGGTATTTCGAAAATCAAAATAACAAACCTTAAATCCCTGTATTTGCTTCATTCTATTATTATGTTGTATAATTGTCTTGCCGTTATATTAGGCGTAGAGAAGAGTATTATATCGTACGTATTCGTTAGTTGTTTGGTACGCAAGGAAATTGAAGATTTCGGTGTCGATACGAATGAAAGAATTCTTTTTAGATAAATGAAATCAAAATTCTTTGAGATTACAATATGAGTGCACGGTAAATTCGTAATGTTACATTAAGCTACAATGGTGAATGTATTTTTATGGGCGAAAACAACAACAAAAAAAGACAAGATAGTAATAACGTTCATGCGAATGTAGCAGACGAACGAGGTAATGGAAGCTCATCGGATGAAGCTTAATTTCTCGTAGAAAGAAATGTGATTAGATTGCTCGTGCTTTTACAATATCGATGCTCATCTCACTAGGGTCTGTGGCTTGCAACTCGACTTGGATCCCATCCAATTCTCGCTTGAATCTGTCTTTAGAGCTTGCGTACACCATCTTCGATCTCACCTTTGATGTATCTGGTGACCTGTTTTTAAATTTACAAGGTTCATTGTTTTACGATCATTAAAGGTATTTTAGGTTAAACTTTGTTTTATTAGAATGTCATGCTTCTAATTGAAATCTCGCTTTGGTAGAATAAGCCAAAGCTTTACGTACCAAGCAATGAAGAAGATCTTGCTTTTTTGGCAATTCTCATCGGTGATAAAGTCAAAGTCAAAGACAGCATAACGGCATTCGTTATTAGGAAGAGAGTTTGTGAAATCCTCGTAGCTCTCGTCAGGGCTTCCGACCTTCTCAACAATCACTTGTTGCTCTTCAATCTTGAAAATAATGAATCGGTAGTTTCTCTTTGTTTTTAGGTCCAAGAACTTCAACTTACATTCGTCATCCACAGCCATTCCAGACGCCGCGTTCGCCTGACCAACAACACATGATCACAACAAGAACAAAAACACACACATGATGAGTATTGAAAAACATGGGGAAATGTTTGGTGGTGTTGAAAGAGAGCATACCATGGTTGGTGGGTGGTGTGATTATTAGAAGTGAAAACAAAATGGAAGAGAAAGAGAAAGTATGGGGGAAAGGGAAAGGGAAGGGAGAGATCCTTGAAAATTGGAAATGAAGAAATTAAAGATACAAGAAATTTGGAGATGTTTAAGCCTCACCACCCATCCTCTCCTATGGATATTACTTCTTTAACTTCATCTCTTTGTTTTACATTTCATCATCTTATAGTATCAACTAATTTACATCTATTTCATACCAAATACCAAATTAAATTAAACACTTTTTGTTTATACATATGGGGTTGTAGACCATATTTTTACACTTGAAACTTCGTATTAAAATACTGTGAAGGTAAACAGAAAATCCAAATCTTTACAGCAAAAACACTTTACCTTCATAGTTAAAGTTTTTTGTATAAAAAGGTGGTCTCACATGATGCCAAGTCTATGTATACGTATAAGCAAAGGATCGTGTAAGAGAAAGTTACGGTGAGTAACATATAAAGAGATTTAAACACTTGATCACTTTTAATCTCATACTCATTCATGAATTGCACTTTTAGTTAGGAATTGATCCGGGGAAAATTGAGAAGTGGTAAATATGTGAGAAGTAAAGAACTAATCCTAGTCCTTCATACAGTGAAAATTGGATTTCACTGGTCAATAATTGCGGCTTTGACCGGTCAAAAATTGCGACTATGAAAAAAAGAGCGGGTTGTTTCTTAACTTTTACAAATAGACAGCAAACGAATTCATATATGAAACTATATGATTCACATATGAACTATATGTTCATATGTGAACTCGTGTAACATATTAACTATTTTAATTGATTCCACATATGAACTAATTAACTGATTCATATATGAACATTTTTTTATTCACATATGAATTAAGTAATTGATTCATATATGAACTATTTAACTAATTCATATATGAACATGTGGTTTAATATATGAGTCAATTAAATAGTTCACATGTGAACTAATTGATGGGTTCGCATATGAACATATGGTTCTTACAAAAATCACATAGTTTTACATATGAACATGTTTGTCATCTATTTGTAAAAGTTACAAAACTACTCATCTATCTTTCCATACCCATGCAATAAATTATTCGATGATTCACAGTCAAAACTGCAAATATTGACTAGATGAAGGGGTTAAGATCATTTTTTTACTTCTCAAATATTTAACTTTTTCTCAAATGAACCTTTACATATATATATATATATATATATATATATATATATATAGGGGCAGGTTCAAATGAAAACCATGTCATTCTAAAAAACCGTGTAAACCAAAATCGACCAATAGGAAAATTCCATTCTTTTTTAATTAAATTTAATAAATAAGGTCATTTTGATCATTTTCATTATTTTTTTCATAAATAAGGAAGTTATTAAGAAATATTAAATAAGGAAATTTAATAATGGAAATTATATAAATGGAATGATTTAAAGATTTTAATATATTATGATATTAAGAATTTATTTTCTTTTTTTTATTCAATGAAGCTGGAAACATTCATGAAGATTTTATATTGTTATGTAATGAATGCATGATTTGAGGTTCATTGTATCAAAAATTACCGGTTATGAACATGTTTCATATGAAAAGGTTTCATATTACCAGAGCATAACATATTAATGATCATATGAAAAGGTTTCATTAGGAAGAAACTGTTGCATATTATATTAATATGTGTAATGAAAAGGTTTCATCATAATGAAACGGGTGCATAATATATTTTATTTTTTATGCAATTAATGTTCATATGATAAGGTTTCATTATAAAATGTTTTATTTGCTTCTTTTATTTATATTGTATATGTTCATGTACTTCCAGTTCATGGTGATGAAACGAGTTCATTTACAATTGTTTAATGACTGTTGAACTCGTTTCATGGCCAACCACGTTGTAGAATTACGTAGGGGGTCCGTTCAGTGGATGTAACGTGTTAATTAGAATGAAACGGGTTCATAATTCATCATTGCAAAAAATGAATGAGTTTCAATATCAAATGAGGATAATGAAATTCGATCTTGCATAATCATAAAATTTAATAAGCGCATTAAACAATGAAAATTTTTCATTAACTAAAATGTAACGAATCCGACTACAAAGAAATTAAGAAAAACGAAATATGATCATTTATTTTAATTTTTAATGAAATTATTCATTATACATTAGTGATTATGTTGTGTTTTGATTTTGATATAACTTATTGATGGATATTATTTTAAAAAATGTTAATATTAAAATAGTATATTACTTCACAAAGTGAATCAATTTCATTAATAATATAATTTAGCTGATATGGTTGYYTTGAATAAAAAATACTATGAATTAAATTTTAGTTAATGAATCGGAAAAGCAATCGGGGGTTACAAAAGTGTTAYYTTTGTTTACCGATTCTACCCTTATTGATGAAATAAAATAAATATTAATTATTTTTTAATTTTTAATTTCCTAAAATAAAGTAAAGTAATTTTAGTCATTGATCAAGAAAATGAATGGATGAGATTGGTTTACACGGTTTACACAAATGGATCAAGTTTTTATTTGAACGCTCCTATATATATATATATATGAGCCTTTACCTATATACATATATATATATATATATATATATAAAGCCAAAGATTATTTTGAAAAGTGATAAATATTTAAAAAGTAAATAAGCTAGTCATTCATACGGTCAATATCGAATTTAACTGGTGAATAATTACGGGTTGACTGGTCAAAAATTATGGTTATGCAAAAAATAGAGGGCGATAGTATCGTAACTATTACAAATAGGCGACAAACGGATTAATATGTGAACCTGTTAATTCACATAAGCATTATTTTAACCGATTTACATATGAACCCGTGTGCGTTACATATGATTCACATATGAACTAACTAGTTGTTTCACATATAAACCTTTGTAATTCACATATGAACCTGTTGGTTCATATGTGAATCAGTTAATTAGTTCACATGTAAATTAATTAACAAGTCCATATATGAACATGTAATTTATATGTGAATCACATGGGTTCACATATGAACCCATTTACCACCTACTTGTTAAAGTTATGAAACTACTCATCCATCTTCTTATACCCATGCGAGGAATTATGCGGTACTTCACGGTCAAAAATGCAAATGTTGACCAGATGAAAGACTATGATCAATTTTTTACTTCTCAAATATTTATCACTTCTCAAACGGACATTTCCATATGTATGTGTGTGTGTGTGTGTTGGATTGTGTGTATTTAAAAACATTCAAATCAAAATATAGGCAAAACAAAACACACAATCTTCCAGAGATCAAGTTACAATCAAAATACAAGTAACATAAAATAATACAACATAAGGTTAGAAAGACCTTTTGATGACTAGGAAGAATCAAATAGCAAGAAACTCTCTATCAGGAGCACACCCCAATAATCCAGTCACGTAGGCAGCAAAACTACTCCTTTTCTTTTGCGATCACCAAGAAAAACACACAATTAAATTTGTTTTATTTGTTATCAAAAACAAGAGAAACCATAACAACTTTTGGTTGTTTTTGTTAGCCATCAAAACCAAGAGATAGGAGAGAGAGTTTTTCAATAATAATTTAGGGTTTTTAAATTAGGTTAACTAATTAGGACATTAACATCCTATTTAAATAAAATCTAATAAGTCTAATAATTATCTCCAATAATTATCTAGACTTGTTAAATTTTATCTAATAACAAGTATGGACTAATTATTAGTTAGTCCTTCTAGTAATTCCAAATTAATTAAAACACTTCTAATTAATTATTTGTTAACCCTCTAAAACTATTTCTCACTTTTACATGACTAGACTTGTGTGCGACCCAATAGGCCCATGCATCTTTAGACTAATACTATTTTATTGTGTTAATGGGCATATCTCCAATAAACTCCCACTTGCACATGTCACAACAACTGAAATAGTAATATCGATCATGGTCAGTATTTTGCAATACACCATCGTCCCTATGTCAGAATGAGGTATGTCATCCAAGACTCAATTTCCGCATTAGGTAGTCATATAGCTAAGCGATCAAATATCCTTTGTTATAGATATCCGTGTGAACGTGAGATATAGAACATGGTCAATATGCGGATTGTTCATCATTATGTTTCTCGATAAAGATTTTTGTGGTGACCCAAACATAGATTGCAAAATTGATCCAATCATCAATCCAGTTTGAGTATGCATACATTCAGCGTCAGCACTAAATCATCGAGGGCCCCATGGATATTGCTTTTATTACAAAATAAAAGGAACAAATAGTATTAACTACATAGATCTCTTACCCACTAATCAGGCTACGCCTAATGGTTCCCTTTATAATCGCCTGTTACGGGCAACGTTAGAGAAACATCAAAGCATGACATACTTTGTGTCAAGAATCTTATGTATCTCTACTTAAGTATAGTAGATATTAACATCTTATAATTCCTTGTGACATGATCCATGAAGCAATCTCTAAGTGTTGGTCGTTCCAATACCCGATCTCTATCAAGTACATGTGAGTGCATAGTTGCATCTCTATGCTATATCCATCTCTTATGGATAATCAACTAATATTTCACTTCAGTCTTAGTTCACTGCTTCTTTCCAGTGGAGAACAACCGATTGTGGACATTTTTTTTGAACTAATAGTTCAAGGAAGTTCATAAACACACAAAGTGGAACACTAATGATACACCGAATGATAGTAACTACTCCAAACATATATTAAGATCTCAATCATAATATCGATACATCATAAATAAAGTGTATAAGTTCCAAAATTTCAAATCAACTAAAATAAATACAATCAAGCCAAATCGCTAGCAAATCTAATGCCTATAAACCTAGTATGAGTATCATGTTTGGTTTGCTACAAAGGCTTGGTGAATGGATCAGTCAAGTTCCCACCCATGCCAACTCTATTAATGATGATGTCTTTATCCTCGACAGCCTTCTGAATGTAATGAAACTTCCTGAGTATATATTGTGTGCGCTTGTGTGACCTGGGTTCTTTAGCCAGGATGATTGCACCTTCGTTGTCACAGAAGATCTCTATAGGATCTTGAATGCTAGGAACCATACCAAGA